CAGCACTTGCAGTACCATGCGCATGTCCGCCAGCACCTGAATAGGGATCACATGCGGCAATCAGGGATTGCTAGTCGAAACCGTCTGGCTCCACCAGCTGCCGTTCAACACGCAAGCAGCACACTCTTTCACAGCCAGCGCCTGACCATGCTTTGTACCCGTTCCCATTTGCAGGATTGCATTATGCAGGCCCCACCTCGGGAATGAGCTTTCCTCTCAGGGTTTGCTTGACCAGCTCCGCAGCTGTGATAGCCGTCCCTAACCGCCCCCTCCACTCCTGGCACAAGTACGCAAGCATGGCGATCTGCTGTGGTGACTGCCAGAGCAGGTCGCTTGGCAGTGGCGGATCCCAGCTCGCGGCCTGGGCCTTTAGCTGCTCCCAGGCGACTTCCAGCACGTCCTTGGACACCATGGGGCTCAGGTTGAGTTGGGAGTGGTACGTGATTAGGGCAACACCGTTGGTCTGCGGCCATGCACAGCAGAGAGGTGTTCGGCTCTACAGAAGCTACAGTCATGGGTAGGACAGGCTGGGGGGGAAAGATGAACGCCAGAATATGCGGCTATAAGCAGAGCTCCGCACCGAAAGCTGACATGCCCACAGCATTCACAAGCGTTGCAAGCAGGCATGCATGCACGCCGTAACCACAAGAGACAGGGATGCCAGTTTGTGTTCACACAATTGCTAGTAGATCAGCAACAAAATTGAGTTCACACGGACACACGGCTGCTGCGGCTCACAACACCACCGCGTCAGCTGTGCTGCCAGCAATGTTGGCCCAGAAGCACGACGCGCCACTGCTGAGGGCCTGGATGCCTAGCTTCAGGTCTGCTATCCGCACATCTGCTTTCTTGCTCGCCTTCTTTAGCACGCACGTTACATAAACCCAATTTTTTACAACTGCCTAGGAAGATATATCGACGTGTTCACAGCGACAATGAAGGTCCGTGGCCCACCATGGCTCTTGCTATACACACAACGAGTGACCACTCAGTCCTTGCACCCAATCGGTCTGGCGCGCCTATGACACACTGTCACGCCGCAAGAAGACGTGTAAACAACTCCGGGTCACACATGTTGCGTGGCACCAAGGGGTGTTAAGAGGCAAGGCCCCAGTCCTGAAGGGCCCCCCATTATAACCTCCCTAGCATCACAGCAGACTAGCTCAATCAATGGATCTCGTCAAGGTGAAGCGATTGATGTCCATATTGGCACGTTTTAGCCACTGGTGACATTGTATCGGGACCCCTTCGACATTGTTCCCGGAGCCCCGGACCCACCACCCCACATGCTGCCGTACAACCAACTTTGGAGACCAATAACTTATGTATTCCTGGGTCCATTTGCATTCTGAAAGCAGATATAGAATGCTCCCGTCTAGCTCTTTGAGAATGAAGCATATGCACCCCCCCAGAAGTGCCTACCCCCCCCTGCTGCAACACCAATTGCTCACCGGGGTGACTGCAACATTGGCCCATAGCGTCGCCATGGAACTGCCCGTGACGGCCCAGGCGACCCAGTGGGGGCTGTCCAGCAGGAGTTCCTTGAAGATGCTGCAGTACACACGACAGTTGAGGGAAGGAAAATGGTCCATGTGTCAGCTCCTTTGTGTCGTATGCCTGCTGTAGGCATGCGTGCAGACCTCTGCCCCTTGTGCAATATGCTTATGTCGTACAATTGAACCTCGCAGCGATCTCCCCTTAGTGCCTTCTGCCCCTCATGTGAAGCTCCACCTGGGCGCGTTTCACTGGCCATTGCCCCTCATCCTCGCCCATGTGATCACACAACACGGTTAGGGAAACCTTGTGCTGATTTACCACCGCATGAGCTGCACTTCCTCCACGTCCAGTGTTGTGCCGCGCGGCGAAAAGTCGCCCGGCATGGCCCGTGTAAGCAGGTAAAAGCTCTGCGCCTCGTCAATCAGCAGGAAGTTCAGGCGGTCCCGTGGCAGGCGCTCCATGAAGTCCTGAATGGCGCCCGCTGCGGTGACAGCCGAGTTGTCACTGGGTGCAGGCGTGCTGGCGGCAGCAGAGAGCTGCTGTTTGGCGGCGCTCCGCTTGAGTACAACGAGGATTTCCTTAAGGAAGCCACTGATGCCACTGCCGCGACGGCAGACCAAGCAGTTCACGTGCAGGAAGTTGGGCTCTGAAAGCACCGTGCCAGCATGCTGCCGGCCACTGCCACCGCTGCTGTAGTAGGTGTTGGCCACAGCAGGCAGAACCTCCTTGAGCATGTAGGACTTGCCAGTCTGCACAACGGGCACAAGATGGGCGCAAGATGGTAAGCGTGCATTCCCCTTGGTCGCTCAGCTGTGTATTACTCAATAGTGCACAAAGCTGCATGCATCACCCATCTACCACGCCTAATCTTCTCACTCCAAACCCTGTTCCATGTGGGTTGGACACAAGCTGCACAAGGAGCTCTCCGTCCTTGGTCAGGCCTTATATCCCACCTTGACCAGACCGTTGATGAACAGCGGCCGGATGGGTCTCCCCATACAGTACTCATCCTCGGCAAGGTCCAGCCACTTCTTCAGCTCAGCTATCTGCCTGCCCTCGGGGTCCAGGAAGAACATGCTGCTCACGCCAGCACTTGCGGCAGCTGCAGCGCTGACAGTGTCCATGGGCTCAAAGAAGAACAGGTCCTGGTTCTGCGAGTCTTGCCGGAGCTGCAGCTTGCAAGCTGGCAGGCCTGCACAAGGATAGCCCATCGTGCCCACAAGGCGCATACACATTAAACAACCAGCCGCTGTCACCCAGTTGCAATGCATGCAGGATCACAACGAAGGGGTGCAGAGCAGCAAAGTGACGAAGCAACTTCAAGCTGAATCAAGCCAGAAGTCACACCCCTCAGTAGCAAGAGGGTGTATGTCATGCAGAACACTGAACCGCCCCTTTATGGTAGAGAAAGAGTGTGCTGTCACACAGGGCTGCACAATCGCAGGCCCAACAGGCTGGAACGTGTAACTGCCGAGAGTGCTTCCAGGCGTGGGGGCACGTCCAAAATTGGTTGTAGCAGCTGTTGGAAATATGCCTCTGACATGTCCTCCCCTGCATGTATTTGAGATCAGAATTAGCTCGGCAAAATGCACACATAGATGGAATACAGAGGAAACATATGCTTCTTCACAACAGCACAGAGAGTGGACGGCTATGTCCGTGCCCCCCGTCGCTAGCACCCCGTGATCCAGCCAACTTGGCAGCTGGACTTGTCAGTCAGTACGGCCAGTCGCCCAGTTGAAATGCATGCAGGATCTTATTAACGCAACCAACGCGGGAACGAACGGGCACAGAGCAGCAGCAGAAAGGGACGGACGGAACATCTTCCAGCTGACTTGCAGTACAGCATAGGTGCCGGGGCCCAGGCCCGCGCCGCAGCCCATGCACCCACCGTGCCATGCCCGAGCGAGCGCCCCGCCCACCCACCCCAACCTGCCTACAGCTGGCGCGCTCTATGCGAGCTCCCCTGGGGCGGGTGTTGGGCGGGTGCTGGGGCCAGGCCCGCCACCCGCCAGCCGCCCCTTGCCGCCTCTTACAGCTCCCAGCATGCACCCAACACGAGTGGGCGCAACCAGCTCACCCCACAGCCCCAAGCAACGACCCACCCGCCCCACCGCGCGACGGCCTCGCTGCTGCCCTTCCGATATAGAGGCCAGCACCCCCGGCAACGGCCTCCGCACCCCCGGCAAAGGCTTCCGTAGCGGGGGGCAGACGAGCCTCGAATTGGCCTCACCCGTCTTAATGCCATAAGCGTTCAGCCAAACCCCAATCGTTCCCCCTGAGGATCGGTTCCCTTCCCACGAGCGCCAGGCCTAGTGGCTCTGCAATGCAGATGGGGTCTCACCGTCAGCTGCCGTGCTCCCGGGGCCCGGCCCTGCCGCCGCGCCTGCATGACGAGAACGTCACATGTATGCAGGTCAGGATTATTGCACA